AAATTATTTTTGAAGTTATCATATAAATGTCTTAAACAAAACATGTGCTCATATGCATGGTATTCCTCTTCAAAAACCTGCATAAGCCCAATAAATAATAACATACCATTTCCAACTAATTAAAAATAGACAATAGACAAATTGACAAAGAATTAACAATTTGTATCACCATATACATAAATTTTGCTGGTCATACATAAAGCACCACCTAGTATCACAAGTATCCTCAATAAGTAGCATCATGAACCAACTCAAAGAATCCTTAGATTCAATTTCTACAACACCAAATGCAATAGGAAAATACTGATCATTGGGATCCCTCCTAACCGCAATTAGTAAAATTCCACCATATTTGTTATTTAGGTGACAACCATCTAAACCTATGAATGCTCTACATGCCTTAGTTAATTAATTTTTGGTCCCATGGACCAGGTGAGTAGGGATATAGCTCCCGTCAAAGCACATGTAACATTTTTCAAATCTTGGTTGCAACTTAGGTCCAAGTCTGTGAATGTTTAACTTGAATGTGTTTCCTGAAGATGCCCTCCTTAACTCAACACCATATGACCACAACATATTGTATTTCTTGCTTGAATCTTCTTCAACAACTTGTCTTTCCATCTGTCTAGCTTTAAAAGCTCTGCTACCAATGATCTCAGTAGACAATCTCATTCTTACATCTTTTACAATTTCATTTAACCTCATCTTAGAATTGTTCCTCAACTTGTCAACTATCATCTTAGCAACCCACTTAATCTTGGCATTCTAATTGAAGAATTGTCTACCACATATGTGTTTGAAAAACAAAGTTTTGATCTTGAATGTTGTAGTTGTAACACCTTTCTAACCCCACATGTATTTCATATATATTTTACAAAATGATTCAAATATTTCCACCAATCATGGGTGTCACATCGTCATAATAAAACATCATAACATACAAGCTTACTCGATAACACGTGTTACAACAACAGTAATAACAACTTCTTAAATTATACTTCCTCCGTCCTAAATTATAAGAGAAATTCACTTTTTAGATTCATTGAATAATTAATGTATCTGGTTTATATGTAGACCAAATACATTAATTATTCAATGAATCTAAAAAGTGAATTTATCTTATAATATGGGACAAAGGGAATACACTTTTATGGTGTTTCATGCGACATCAAGACATCTTTTAAAAGCAACGCAGCAGAATCATCATCAATCATAAATATTCTCAACTATCGACTCATCATATTTAGTCTCATAAAAATGGAGTTTTAAAATTAGTTCAACAATCAAAATCTTCATAAAGTATGTCAATATAAAAGGAACATAACATTCACAAAACTAAGTGTTCCTAACCCGATGTTACATATCAGAGCAAGACACCTTCTAATTAGCAAAAAACATGAAATACTCCAAAGCTCTATCCTCGATACTTGAGCAAGTTACTCTTGAGTATCTGCGTGTTACCCACGTGGAGGCAACATTCAAACAGAAAGAGTGAGTAATCATGATTCATTATAAAATATATAAAGAAAAGATACGTAGTTACAAACAATATCATCATACAATCAATACACACCATTCATCAACACTTCATACTCACCAATATATTACAATATCACTTAAACATCCTTCATCATCAATTTGTCATATATTCACATAGTTCACAGTTACTATCACATCACAACTCATCAACATAATTCATGCAATGTTATTTAGAATGCTAATGCAACGACACTGACACAATGCACGTGATACCAAAATTTATGAGCACCTGGCTCATCACCCTCCAAAGATCCCCACCATAGGCTCAATTCCTTCTTAGAACCGGAGCACAACATAAATCGCTACCGTCATCATAGGTAACACTTCACTAAATCCCCAACAAGGACTTAGCTACTCGCATCCAATCCAGACAATAATTTTGAGGCTAAACACAGGAGGAGCAACGTCCAAAAATGCTATGAATGCATGATGCACAACAACGTCATATATCAATTTGACCATAGCTAGTCAAGTGCATTATCATTCACATAATCATCATATAGTCATTATTCACATAGCATGTATACAAATTAACATGTACATCATTCGAACATGATCATAGAAAACATCAATTACATCACAACAACATCATAGCAACTTCATAACATTAATATGTCCATCATCGAAACAGAACATCTTAACATCACACATATAATGACTCAAAACTCATAAATACATAGGTAATGGAATAATGCATCAATAAACTCATATTCATCTATTATAATATAGCTCTGTATGCCAGCTTCCCAATGCTTCGAGCGACACGTCAAACAGAGTCCTGAAACTCAAGTCACACTCTATGAAAATTACTATTAGATCTGCTTGTCTGATGCTCGCCCGACGATCCTGGTGGCGCTCTCCTCGTCTGACGCTCGCCCAACGAGGCTAGGGCGATGATCCATCCCCCATACATTTTCCAGAAGCTCCTCTTTTCCAATATTTCCCCTTGCGGCTTATCTCACCCGATGGCGTTTGGATGACTCGCTCGCCCCTTGCTCGACCGACAACGCGTAAGACACTGCAACTTTTATTGTGATTTCGCTACTGATACCAACCATCCTAATTATGATTACAGATACCATACTCATTCCAAAGCGCATTATAAACACCATATCTCACATACTAATATCAAAACATATATAGACACATATTAGGGTCAAATCATGACATTCATATATAATTAACACCAATAATTTCATCATATTTCATCAAATCAATCATATAATAAATCCTACATCTACCTTAACCCCCTAGCGATCATAATAAACCGATTACAGCCTTACCTAGAATTCCTAAGAGAATTGATTCTCTCTTCGAGTTCTACCAAACTCCCTTCTTGGTTCTCTGTGCCTTAGCTCTTCTTACGTTCTCCCAAATTTCACGATCGCACATAATGATTTCGATTCCTCTTACTCTCTTTTTTTATGTTGTTACCCCTTAGACCCTTTCTATGCTATTCCCCTTATGCCCTCACTCATCATCATATATTACCATCATGTCCTTAACATCCCTACTCAACTAATTATCTCATTTTCCTTATTTATTTTATTAATAAACTACATAGGACTATTAACTAAATAATTCTAATTAATTCTCATTTTCCCTACAATTCTAACCAATATCCAATACTCCCAACCACATAAATTACATAAAATCTACAAATAATTAAATAAAGGATTCTAAATTTTGGGGTAACGGGTGTTACTGTAGTTCTTAAAACTCGACTGCATAGTATAGTATAGTCACATAGTTTCTTCTACTTACACATAACCCTACATTTATTGGCATCATTTTTGGCAAAAATGTTACCTCTATACCATTCAAAACATCGTGTTCTATAACAACCTTTTTAAATTACTTCAAAGATGAAAATTCCATCCCTACTTTGAAATTGAAATCTTTTGTAATTGTATCATCTTCATTGAACCTAATCACTGCAATCCTGTCATCACAACTATCTTCATCGGCCCCACTGTCAATCTCATCTATCATGTAATCTTCTTCTATAACATGTTCCTTATCCATTTCCTCTATAATAAAGCCATAATTGTTTGCTTCACTTTTATCTGTATCATTAACATTTTCATTTTTAGACACACCTTCAATGTTAGTTTCTTCTTCAAGGTCACCATTAGAATTGTGCATTCTTTCTTATTCACTATTTTCAAAGTGAATGCCATCCACAAAATCTTCACTTGCTTCATACTCATCACCACTATCTTCCTCACCACTTTCATGCCCTTTTTGTCTCTCTATAAGCCTCTTCATATAGGTCAATTCACATGTAGTAAGTTTGGCCTCTGTGTAAATTTCCACTTTAGAGTTATTGTTCACAGCAAACCAAGCCAATAAAGAAGCATCCTCATCATTGCTAAAAAGTTTAAGATGTTTTTCCAAAGAACCCTCTTTATGCTTCCACCATATTTTTACTTCATCTACACTAAATGTAGAGTTCATCCCTTTGATAAGGCCATAAGCTTCAAAGAATGACTAGAAATTTGTGTTTTATCCACTAAATGCAAAAATGTCTCCACCTTCATACCTTAGCTTTGAGTGTTTTACAAAAGACCCTTTGCATAAAACCCAACCTTAAATAACCTCATCCTGTAAACAAGGTAAATTAGACATTACAACACAAAAAATGACCACACACGACTATAAACTATATCATTAACAGGCAACACTATACAATAAAGTGGTCCACATATAATACAAAAAACTATAACTTGTCGAGCAAGCGGGTACCATAAACAATTAAAAAAAAGAGTGATTTTATCTTGAGACCACACCTTTCGAATCTCAGTTACAAACGATGCATTTGGTGCTTCAAATAACAAATATGTGAAGGAACGACGATGAACCTGTTACGTTTTCAATTCATCTTCAAATGACGAAGATAAATTTTTCACTCTTTAAGCGTTTCAGACCAAATAGATATATGTGTGATATTTTAGGATTTCGTTCAATTTGAAGATGAATTGAAATAATTTCTAATTATTTAGCTAAACATATATCACGTAAAATTGGTGTTAATATATTTTAATCATAATAGAAATAAAATTAAATGAATTTAAATTATACTGACCACATCAATCGCCGTTAGTTTTATTTAATATCAGAGGCAAATATTATGGATGTAAATTTTTGTAAGAACTATTCATTAAAAAAAAAGTTTAAAAGAATTAAAAGCGAAATCGGATATATTTAAAGAGAGAGAAAAACATATTTAACCTAAAAAAAAAAAGGGTAAATGCTAAAAAAATAATTGACAATATTCAACAATGAATACGAGTATAAATTCATAATCTGAAGAGGACGCAACTTTGATTTTTCCTCATAAGCAAGCAAGTTGCAACGTGGTTCTCTGGTGTCCCCGCGTTATCTATTTATTTTCCTAACACACTCTTCTTCTTCTTCCTTCTTTTCTCCTTTTGCAAAACCCTCCGTATCTCCAACTATCAATGGCGTCAATTTCTATATCAAATGGTTTGAAAACTCTGTTCACTGTTCTGGGAGCTCTCATGCTTGCTCTCCTTCTCTACACACTCATTACCGACGGTTTCCCCTTCCGCAAAGAACTTCTCACTCCGTAACCCCTCTCTCTTGCTACGTTGCTCTCTTTATTTTTGTTTTGATGATTATACAATAGAGCTATCATAAACAATATAAAACGATATTTTCTTCTCATGCTATTTATTTGATTCAGGTGGATGGCAGCAACTTTGATTGATTTCTATATCAACGTTGCAATTTTGAGTGTAAGTCTAACTAATTAACTCTATAATCATCTTCACTAGTTAAAATTTAAATATATTATTTAGTATTTGGTGTTTCAAATGTATAAAAAAAAAACAGGTTAGTTGGAATTAATCATGTTCGGAAGATGTAAAGTAAGAGGGATTTGAAAGCAAAAGTTCTTTAAATTCTACTAATTTGAAGTATAGGCTATGATTTATTGAGTCACCACACTGATTCAATATTTGAAGTAGGGGCATATTTGGATTGACTTGAGCTTATCTATGTTGAGATATTAAATCTAATCCAAGTTGTATAATCTAAGCTCAAATCCAAGTTAGATGTATATAAATAATCATAATTTATATCATTATTTGTAACTATACAATTTAATAATATAATTTTTATTATCTTATTCTCTCTTTCTTTCTTCACTAAAAGTGCATTAGGCATTAACAATCTATTGCCATTAACTTTAATCATCTATTGCCATTAACTTTAAAATATGACCAATGCTTAACGGAGCAGTGTCTAATTGACAATGTGTCAGAATCACTTTCCAACTGAAGTTTCATCAGCTCTGACATATGTTTTTCTGTCACATCAGACCTGGGTTGTGTACAAGGAAGCAAATTGGGTTAGCTCAATTCTATGGATAATTTTACTTATCTCCCTTGGAAGGTACTCCCTCCGTTTCAAAATGATTGTCGTTTTAGAAAAAGAAATTTGTTTTAAAATAAATGTCATTTTCACTTTTCAATGTAGAAATGATTATTATTTTTTCAATTGTGCCCTTTAATTATTCATCTGTACACTATTTTCAATACATTAATAAGATTAATTTAGTAAAAGTGCAATATTTTATAACACTATCATTACATTCCTTAATCTGTGTATAAAAACCATAAACGACATTCATTTTGAAACGGAGAGAGTATCATGTTCTCTCATGATTTGATGTTCATTAGTGTTTGCATTATTACCTCAAATATCTTGATTTTACTTATAAAGCGTATCTATAATCTAAGCAATGAGAGGAATCTCTTTTTTATTTTTTGTTTTGTTTCAGCATTGCTACATCTGCTTATATAGTGTTGCAATTTTTGAAGCTGTCATCTCAAGAATCTTCGCAGGACCCTATGAGCTATGTTCTTTTACGACATCCACACAAGTATGTCTACAAAAAAACAACTATAGACTAATTTTCTCTCTACATCTGATTCATTATAGAGTAATGTTCCATAAATATATATGATGAAAAGGAGCTGGATGATATTTTAAGAATCCAATTTCATGTTTTAGTATTTTAGTTTTCTGTATAATTTTTAATGTTTTGATTTTCACCATCAGTCCTAATATAATGTGACGCTTTCTATACAGGAATAGCACAGAACCAACAGCTAAGTGTTCTGTTGTTGCAACTCTAAGAATCCTTTTCAGCGTTTTGGGTGTTGTCATGCTTGGAACCTTGATATACACTCTTGTTACTGATGGTTCTCCTTTCCGTACGGAGCTGTTGACTCCGTAAGTGCTTACTATTTATTATTGTTATTCATGTTGTTATCCTTGTTGCCAACTCCGTAAATGCTAACATTTTCTTCTTGTTAAAAGGAATTTCGTTTCCAATCACAGTACTTAACTTAGGTTTTCTGGTTCAATGGGAAACAATGCACAACATCTTTAATACTCACATTCCACATTCTATGTACTGTCTTCTATATAGTTCACTGAACTTAGCTATTCTCAACAAGCTTATCAGTGACTTTTTACTCTTATTTTGGGTTAAGTTCTTGCTAATTATTGTAATGGAGTGGCTTCTTCATGAATCACGAATCTTGTAAGGCCTTAGAAAAACCATTGTTTGAAGAAGACGAGTACAAATTTGCATGGCATGTGAATGAATTGTGGCAACCTTCATCATTTTACTCTGGTGCCAAATGCAATATCTTCAATACTAAATTAATTTCAATTATTTATATTTCACCAGATTTTGAAACCTTAACCTATTATACCTTTTCAAGCATCCACCCAAATTGATCTAAGTAAATCCAAATAACATAATATCATAATAAAACATCTATAAATAACTGTTTTCGTTATATACTAATTATATGTAAACTATCTGTTGGTAAACATTTGAAAGTGTATGCATAGAGTGCAGTATGGACAACATTGATTTTGAAAGTTGTGACCTATAAAAAGTTTTTCTTCATTTTCCTAATTGAAATGCTCACAAAGGCAAAGCTTGTTATTTCTGTGTGTCATTCAAGTATATATTTGCAACTTGTCATGCTCACGCGAGTAAGTTTCTGCACTGCTTCTGCTTGTGGCAGTCGTTTATCATATAAATGAACTTCATAAGCTCCAAAATGTTTGCAGGTGGATGCAAGCTACACTAGTTGACTTCTACATCAATGTTGTGGCCCTAGCAGTAAGTCTACAATTTTTTAATCTTAGCAGCTCTAAATTATACAGAATTTATAAATTATAAATTTATTTTGTTGACTTGGAGGATTAATATTCAAGAAGCCACTTAAAATTGTTTCTGTTTGTCCACAAATAGATTTTAAGACACTCTGTTGACATTATAATTATTTTTGTGCTTATAACAGAAAGTCTTAATTCTATGAAAGTATCAATACTCTTCTTCCTGATCTATTTTATGAATGACTAGGGGTAACTAAATGATCTTAAGATAAACCAAGTAAAAAAATTGTGAACAAGGGGGGTTATGATCAATAATGTATAAATGTGAAAGTTTTAATATCAATATAGTATTCAGTACACTTGTTTTCGTTTGGATTTAATTATCACAAGTTCTTAAATATTCATACAATAACAGGTCTGGGTTGCTTACAAAGAATCTAGTTGGGTTTATGCTGTCTCTTGGGTTATTCTATTGATATGTTTTGGCAGGTTAGTCCACACTATTTTATGTTTGCTTACCAATCAGTGATTAAATTCATCTATTATTTGAATATAATTTTACTTGGAACGTTAAATAATTATAGTTTTATGACATAGGTTACAATTTCCATTGTTTAATTTTCAACTGTACTTTGATTTGGACTTCACATTTTGGTTGGTCATGAGAAAATAATGTACGGTTTATATATTACTAAATACATGTCATTCTACCTTATATTGTTGCTTTTTATTTTGGGGATATTCCAGAAAATCCATGAAAGTAGAACTGAACTGATTATCTCTTATGCCAGTTAACATATACATCTAGGAAGCTGTTGTATAAACTTTTAATCCATACGGCTTAGTTTTCTCTTTCAAATTCTTAAACATGTTACTCTGAGGACTTTCCTTGACCATAGAGAAAACTAGAAATCAATGTAGTCTCTTTTGAGATGTGGCAACAGATGCTCCGAAGCAAGTTTCCTACCAATTTGGCAAAATCTCTAATTTAGAATATTATAAATGCTGAATAAGCTGAGCCAGGAATGCCTGAGATTCCTGGCCCAACTCTTTTAAGCAACATCCATTTTTCAAATTGAATTTCCTTATCTATGTCATTTAGTGATCCATGTCAATTGCACCAGGTCTATGTGGTGTTAGTTATATTATATATATCAAAATAATAAAGAGAAATGAGAAATGTTTGTTAACCATGAAGATTCACAAGTACATTTCTAATTTTGGATTATAGCTTCGGAAGAGCCGTGTCATCTATATCTATCATTCTTGTGTGCATATCCCTCTAATCTTATACCTATCATAAGTTTCATGCTTCATTAGGTTCTAACTATAACATATTATTTTGTGGCTGACGGTTATTTACGTTTCCATATTTTCAGCATCACTTCATGCGTCTACGTTGTATGGCAGTTGTTCAAGATATCTTATCAGGATCCTGCTTATTTTATTTTAGTGCATCATAGTGACAGGCAAGTATATATATAGCAATTTTTGTTTCCTTCGATTTTTTATCACTTTTATTTGAGACTGAAATAGGCATGAAGCAACATTATTTTTCAACTGGCAGAATCCTCTAACCATATATTCTAATAAGAAAGAATCCTTTACTACTAAACAAATAAATGTTCTCTCTTCCTTCTATTAATTTATTTAGAAACGGCAATGGTTATTGATGGTAGGGCAGAAAACAAATATAAGGGGATTTCTGCTGATGCAACATAGCAATGGTGTAAATGAACAAATAGTGTGGTATACTGGTATAACCATACAAATCTGTGAGTGATATGTTCTTACACACTATTTGACAGTTTCTTTGTTATTAGGTGATTGTTATGTGGGTGTCACTAAATTTTTTGAACTCACTCTTTTTGTTGAAACTCACATGAAATTCACCTAATAATATAAATCAGCGCATTAGAAACAATTTGTTTTTAGTATTTCTGCTGCATATTGAGCTTAACATCCGCATTATTGATAATTACAGGAAGTAAAAAGGGACCAGATAATCCCTGAGCACATACTGTGACCCTAGAATACAGAAAATTAACGTACTGATGAAATTGATGCCAGGAGATAGTCTCTGAAAACACTAGTTGGTAGTTGGATGATGTCACATTCTCGGTATAAATAAATGAAACGCGGTTATATTTGTAGTGTAATTTTTTATTTTATAGTTGTGTAATTTGAACTTCAAACATACACGGTATGTACTTTCCTATTTGTTTATCTCTATTCCTTCTATATTTTTTTAACATTTGGGACGCAACTTCATTTCCTATGAAGCATACTGTTGCATGCCCCCTCTAGGCAGAGAGGGGCGACCAGATAGAATAGATTTTTGAAATGCATCAAGCTCTCTGAAAAGGCTGGAAAACTACAAACAACATACACTAAATTAATCAAACCACGGCCACGTGCTTGAGTTGCATGACCATGTCTATGTGCGTACTGTTTCATGAGCCTCTAGATGGAGAGAGGTGACCAAGAAGAATTGATTTTTAAAATGCATCAAATTCTCCGAAAAGACTCAAACTACGAACAATTTAAATCAAATTGAAATTCTAGTACAAGAAATACATACCAACAAAACTGTCTTAACAACAGATGATGTCGAGACAAATGTTATAATATCTGATAACAAACCAGATCAATCAAGTTAAATATGATACAAAAAATAAAACTACAGAATGATAAATAATATAATGAGTTGTTAATCCAGTTCGGTGCAACATCACATACTCTGAGGGCTATCAAGTCAGGAAGGAAGTCCACTATTAACTGTATTAGTTCAAAGTTAAACTCTCTCGTTTACAACTTCTTGTCTAATCTCTATCCAATGTAACTTTTACCCAGGTCCTCTTTAAATATGAGAAATTGCCATCTCACTTTCTAAATCACCTCAGTGATATCTAACAATCCTAATAATTAAAGGGCTGGTAATTGAAGAATATGAACTTGTTGAAGAGATTAGAAATCAAGATAGTTATGCCATTTTATAATCAAGACCAAAACCCAAAGTTAAGTTTTTGTTTAATTGAACTACAAATTTAACTCAATAATTGCACACAGTCTTTGAGATCGATATCTTGGGAATTTCCTATTATTACTGCAAGATAAAAATAGTACACTTGTTATTTTTCCTATCACCAGGTGCTCGTTTATCGCTTTCTATAGCATAACATGTTTAAGAAACTTTTCATTTGTATAATTGTCATATCATTCATTCTTTTTGCATTACTTGCTCATGACTTGAATCACTTTAGTTCCCCTTTTACCTCCAAATGTGAGGAAGCTTTCCATTGTTCATATATGATGGATGCCACAATTCTTGTTTTAACTGGATTTTATTATGTTTAATCTTTTGTTTGTGTTGATTGTATGAAAGCATGAAAACGATCAAGGCATTTTGTTTGATTTTGAGTACAACTACCTAGCCAAATAGTCAATTCATCTTGTGAGTGTGTGATCATTTGTACCCCTTTGAGCCTTTTGTCATTATCCATATTGGTTGAACTTGATGCTTGTCTTAGAGTATTGTTTTCACTTTTTGTATGGATTTTGATTGTTGCCTTAGAACCCTCAACTTTATGTTGTTGTATGAATTTTTGCCTTGCCTTAGAATATAGGGAGTAGTTACATGATGATGTGGTTGGATTCAATTTGGATAGAGAATGTTTGCTCATTTATATGTTTGGTTGTTATGAGGTTGAAAAAAGAATAAAATAAAAAATAAAAAAAATGTGAAAAAGAAAGAAAGAAAATGCTAGGGTACGATGAGCAAGTGTTGAAGTGGTAAAACGACAACAAAAAGTAAGTATTTATTTAGTTTTACCATATTGTCTCCATAGGGATTAGTGCTACTGAATTTCCGTTCGACAATTTCTTGTTAATGAATTTGGGTTAAAATGAGTTTGAAGTAAATGCGAGAATTAAAAGTTATTAATAGGAAAAGAATTCATTCTTCGGAGAAGAGACTTATCAAGCATGCATATAATCCACCCCTCACAAATTTAAGCCTATCGACCAATCGTACTCAACCTACAATACTTATCAATGTCATCACGTATCAAACACAACACCCAGTAGATCATCTCGGTGGAGATCTCTCAACTAACCTCAACAACACAGAAGTCAATCGTGCTACTCGCATCGACGATCTCTCAGAGTTACACAACCAACACAGAGACATTAATCACAAACACCCAAGTGGATAATAGCACTAAATCTATCTCTAGAATCTAGACATTATTAGACAATCACCCTAGATAAGAATTTGAGCAGTATATGTCTATAAAAACCCAAACCCCAAAGCACATAGCAAAAATACAGGATAATAATTGACAAAGATTTATAAAGCAAGTTTTATACAATGCCATAGGCGACAAATATACATGAGTTCAAAGTAAATACATATACAAACCCAACCAATGAAGAATACACAAAGAAGAAGAGAAATGAACCATAAATCTCTTAGTTTGTCAGTGTCGATTGATGAGCAATCCACTCCAGATCATCTGTATGCAAGCACAATAGTTGTTTTCTGAGCTAATCTACCAAAAAATGAGGTTTATGAATTTGGGAGCTAAAACTATCCCCAAAAACATAACCTAAAAAAATGAATGAAATGAAGATATAAAACAAATCTCAGCAGATTGCTCTAAGCGGGCCTGACACGCTAAGCACGACTTCCTTATTTTACACATCGAATCGCCTAAAACCGCGCTAAGCGAGCTACTCGCGCTTAGCATACACAAAAACTCCGCTTATGCCAAATATGTCAAAACACTTATAGCGCGCTACGATTCCCGCTTAGCACACCTTCCTGAACATAAATTCCCAAAAATGAATTTTTATTTCAAAAACGCGCATCCGGAGCCGTGCCTTCGACACCTTGTTCCTCGATGCCCCAAATGTGCAACAAATACCTACAAAATAAGTAAAATATATCAAATAATACACAAATGAGTCTATATACAAACTAAACATATTCACGAACAAAGTCGGGAATTATTCAACGAATATAAACAAAAGAACCGATAAGTGACACAAAACATATTTACAAAAAAACTATATTTTGGTACTTATCAAACTCTCCCCAACTTGAACTTGTTTGTCCTTAAACAAGGAAAAACAACTCAAAGAAGTAAAAGTAATCAACCAAATAATCATGAATCAACATATTTGAAAAACGAAGATAAATGTATGGTTCAAACAAAAACACACAAGCAAGGTAAAACTTACCACTATCCTACGATGATAACATGTAAACGAAACGAATCCTAAGTACAAAAATTATACTAAACATTCTAAAACAAAACAAGCTTGATTATGAATCACGCCTAGTAAAAATTCATCGGTAGATAAAGAACGCACAAAAATGGGGAAATAAAACTCATCCACAATCTTGCAAACAATAGACTAAATTATGCATTCATCCAAAATTCAGATTGAAAATAAAAAGACAAGAATCACAAGGTCTTTTCAAGATTTTAATGTGGCATGGTTAACAAACAAGGGATAATTCTTAAAGCTAATCGAAACAAAAACTTGCCTAAACCTAAGGGAGTGATCAACTCACAAAAGTTCAAACACAAAATTTCAATCAAACTTATTCGTAATCCCAAATTTCACATACCAATCACAATACTTATTAACACAACATTATTTTATACTTTTTTTTTTCTTTTTCAAAACTTTTTCAAATTTTTTCTTACTTTTTCATATTTTTTTCTTTTTTCTTTTATTGTTTTTTCAACCTCATAACAACCAACATATAAATGAGCAAACATTCTCTATCCAAATTGAATCCAACCACATCATTATGTAACTACTCCCTACATTCTAAGGCAAGGCAAAAATTCATACAACAACACAAAATTGAGGGTTCAAGAAAAACAACAATCAAAATCCATACAAAAAGTGAAAATAATACTCTAAGACAAGCATCAAGTTCAACCAACATGGATAATGACAAAAGGGTCAAAGGGGATACAAATGATCACACACTCACAAGATGAATTTACTATTTGGCTAGGTAGTTGTACTCAAAATCAAACAAAATGCCTTGATCATTTTTATGCTTTCATGCAATCAACACAAACAAAATATTAAACATAATAAAATTCAGTTAAAACAAGAATTGTGGCCTCCATCATATATGAACAATGGAAAGCTTCTTCACATTTGGGGGTAAAAAGGGAACTAAAGTGATTCAAGTCATGAGCAAGTAATGCAAAAAGAATAAATTGTATGGTAATTATACAAATGAAAAGTTTCCTAAACATGTTATACTATAGAAAGTGATAAACGAGCACCAAGTGATAGGAAAAATAACAAGTGTACTATTTCTGACTTGCAGTAATAATAGGAAATTCCCAATATATTGATCTCAAAGACTGTGTGCAATTATTGAGTTAAATTCGTAGTTAAATTAAACAAAAAATTAACTTGGGGTTTTGGTTTTGATATTTTCATGTAACAAAAAGCAGAAATATAAAATGGCTTTTTCATAGATATGACGAGCATGCTAGGGTAAGGTGAATAAGTTTCTCTATAATTATCTTGAATCCTGATCTCTTCAACAAGTTCATATCCTTCAATTACCATCCCTTTAGGGTTACAAAGGTCTCAAGTGATTTCCATGGTTCTCCATAGGTGCTTAAGAATGCTCATGTCAAGTTTCAAGCATTGCATCACAAGATTGCTCAATCAATAGCTTGGATGATTGAAAATCAACTTATTGGGTAAAAATTCAACTATGGTCAACATACAGTCAAACTTCAAGATTTTTGGTCAACATCATCATTTTGAAGTGATATTCATCATTTGATCAAGGCTTGATCATGATTCTTCAAGGAAAACCCTCAAATCATCAAAAGTCAAAAGTTGCCAAATTAGGGTTTCCTTAGGAGAAGTCAAAAGAACTTTGACCAAGAATAACTTTCACATGCTTCATCAACTTTTCCCCAACTAAAGACTATTTTGAAGAAAA